GCTGGGAATTTCAAACTCCCCTTTCGAATCTGCTCTTGGATTCTGTCTCGAAAAACAATGCAGTTTTTAGTTAAGTGAGACCAAGAATTATGCCATTTATAATACATTTTTCCTTTAAGTTCCTCTGGAGATAGAATTTTAACTCCTTTTGGTAACTTCAGAAAGTTTGCAGCAAGTAAATAATCAAAACTGTCATCTGTCTTTGTTAAATCGAAAGAGTATTTCCTATAAAGGTCTTTCTTTTTAAATTGTCGGTCTATTGTTGTGTCTTTATGAATTAATACTTCACAGATCACAGGTTCTTTCCTTACAATCTTTGCCAATCTCACAATTAAGATCTCTATAGTACGTCTTGTATGATGCATTACTTCGATCTTGTTCTTCCTCTAGTAATGCTTCATACCTAGACACCTTATAGGTCAGCTCCACTAAGTCTCTAAACTTAGTTGAGTCAAACTTCTTTCGAAGTCTAAACTCTAGACCATTTTGAGCCAATCTCACAAACTCAGGCTCTAGTAGGACAATCCTACATTTGTTTCGTGCTCTTTTGATCTGGCAATAAATTGAGTAGCCTTTTCATCAGGCCTTTGACTCAACCTTGCCAAGTCTGCCATAGAAACCTCTGGTGTCATTTGGAAGAATTGGGCATGAAATGCCTCCTCCATCTGTTGCCAAATTGGGATGGAACCAGGTGTAAGGTTAATATACCATACAAAGGCTGCCCTAGTTAGAGAATTTGGGAACAATCTCAACTTCATGCAATCATTATTGGTAAATTCACCACATTGAGCAGCGAACCTAGCAATATGCTCCACCGTTGACTGGTTTCCATTCCCATAAAAAAGAGCAAAGTCTGGTATCCTAAATCCTCTTGGGTATTCATGTACCCTATCCACCCATTCTGGATATGGTTTCCTGTACACAGGAGTTTGAACCCCCCGAGCCATCGGTCCATACATCTCTCTAACAATGTCAGCAATTTGGTCCCTAGGAACCATATTTTGTGCTTATTGAACCACTACTGGAGGAACAAACACAGGATTTGGTGGACAACCTTGTGCTTGAGATCCTCTTGGTCCATAGGGTGGCACATTTGGGACTGGTTATCCCTGTGGTGCTGGCTACTGTTGAGAGTATGGGTAACCCTTCTGAGCCTGTCCTGCGAAAGGACCTACGAAAGGTGCTGGAACAGGTGTTGTGTCTCTTCCAATTGTAGGGCACCCTTCCAACCCCCCGAGTATAAATTCGAACAAAGGATTAGTGAACCCCTTTATGCTAGGTATGGCTTCGAACATGGGATTTGGAAACATCCTTATGCCATTTTCTTGTGTTGGGCCAGATCTACCAAATTGCATGGCTTCACTGTTAAGTAATGAGGCATTTTGATTTGTCACAAGTCTCGAAAGAGGTTCATACCAAGACTGAGGTGATGGTCTTTCGTAGTTTTGGTTACTAGTTTGACCATTAGAATGTCTATTATTTTGCATAGGTTGTTTATCTCTAGCCAATCTTTGTTAAGGGACATTTGAAACTTCCTCCATACGTCTTGTGTTTGTTGGTTGATGGGTATTCGTTCAATCCATGAAGGATGTTGCCCACATTTCCATTGTGTTCATTAGCTGCTATCCCACGGCATCTACTAGGCCACCCCATGGATTCATTGGCTGAGTAGATGGAACAGTGAATGGTCCAATTCCTTGGCCTCGTCCAACATTTTGAACATGTGGTACTTGTTCCGAAGTGTTGGTCTGTTCGACCATAGGTTCTGATAAAATAAGTACTTCCACAGGATGTGTTATCACATTATCCTCTGGATTAGGCATTTCTACCTCTTCTTCCACACCTTCTTCCAAGCGTTCATTTTCTCCTTGTCTCCTACATCTAGCCATTTCAATTAGTCCCACTGGGCGTGTCAAAAATATATGTTGGCTTTTTGACTTTCGAAGGTTATTATTGTAATTTTGAGTGTGCCAACAAGGATCAATCAGTCCGTACAGAATATTAATTGCCAACCAATTATCAGACGATTGTGTTTTAGTTCTTTCAGCCTCAATGGAGAGGACTTTTACTGGTGGCTTTGTTTAGGAGAGTTAAGCAAACAATGATTAAATAAAGAACAATTATAGCATTTCATTAAATAAAACGAAAGACTTATAAAGATCCAAATGAGCCTCGTAGAGGTTTACAGCAACAAACTACTTGAAACTACTCTTATGAACGAAGTGCAGTGCAGGAATTTGAAGTACATAAATGTAAAGAACAAGAAATATAAAAACTGGAAGGAAAAATAAAGTAGATAAAACTGGTTTTTTGGATTTGAGTCTAGGGGCTCTTTCTGGAACCTTCTCTGCTATTTATACTTCTCAATGATAACCGTCGAAATGAGCTTCTAACCGTCGAATCACCTCTCCATGATTGCTGATCATGTTTCCTCACAGTTAGCTCCACTAGGACATGTATGCAGTTAGGCTTCCCTCCTGATATTTGAATTTAAATATGAGTAACTGTTAAGGCCACGTCATCTTGCATCTCTCTGCTGATTCCATACTATATAGATCCACAATAACCAAAACTAACTGCCATGTGTATGATTATGATTGAAGACTTGAATTGTTTTCCTGTATTGCCCTCATCCTACCACGTGTTGAACTGTGATTGGCTTGTACAAAATATATAGCCAACAGCAATATAATGTATGATTGAATTTAATTATAAAATGTTTTAATTTTTTCAACATATAACCTGATTGATAGATTGAAATTTATAATTATTTTTTGAATTAAATATGCACAGATGTAGAAGTCCAATATTAAAACCAAGCTAGACTTAGACAAATACAAAGACCCCGTTTGGTGTAGCTGTTAAAATGGATTATAAATTATAGCTTAACAGATTATAGATTATGACTTTAATCAAAAGCTCTTAATCTGTTTGGTATAGCTGTTGGATTATAGATTTAAGTTGCTGAGCAGTGTTTGTTAAATGAGATGTGAAGTAACATTTGTTGTGTAAATGTCTTTTTTACCCTTGTTATTTGTAAATTGAATTTATTTTGACTTTTTGCTATTAATTCCATATTAAGAGATCATTCAAACACCAAATTGACATAATGATTTTATTTTTAGATAATAACAATGATATAAACATTACACAAAAATAAATTTATTATATTTTAATAATTATTTCCTTGACAAATTGACATTAAAATCTCATATCTTCTTGACTCCATCTCATAATCATCATTACGAACCAAATGCCCGTGTCGGTTTTTCCCTACCACTGTTTCCTCATCAACAGGGACATACTTAGTATGTTTCACTACAAGAAAAGTGGGCAAATAACACGGAACTTTTTTGCGAAGGCGTGTATACTGTCGCAAAAAGTGGTCTTTTGCGACGGCATATGAAGCCGTCTCAAATAATGTTTTCTGTGAAGGCAGTTTCCCCGTCGCTAATAAGTACAGAACAAAAAGTCACTTAGATACAAAAGTATTAGCGACGGCACTGTACACCGTCGCAAATAGTGGAGATTTGTGACGGGAATGCTCGGTTGCAAAAAAAAACCCTTAATAAAACGGCGTCGTTTTATAAATGGATTTGATCATTTGTGACGGTTGCCATGTCGTTGCAAATAGTCTAAAATTTCATCTCCCTCCTTCAGTCGAAATGGCACTCGATGAAATTCCCTAAAATCCCCAAAATGCCTAACACCTTTCCCTCAAAACCCCCTAAATCCCTAAATCCCCAAAATCCCTAAATCCCCAGAGACGAGTTCGACGACGATCTCTCTCCGTCTCTCGACGAGTGATGGCGGTGACGGTTAGTGGTGTTCGAGTTCATCGACAATCACAGCGACGACGGCGAGTGTTCACCGACGATATCTCTCTCGACGAGCGACGACGGCGTGTTACAATCTCTCTCTCTCTGAGCTCAGTCAGTACGTATGTTTGTTTAATCGAGTACACACACACATACACACACACACTAATTGGGGAGCAAAGTTGGAGCTCTGTCAATAGCGGTTTCATCGTCTCCTCAACCTTCATTTCTCTCTTCTCTCCGCCTCAACAACACAACCACTGCCAACCTAAGTTGTTCGTCTTCCCCCAATCTACCATTTTAAAGATCATGGCTGGGCTTCTTACTCCAGCCAAGGTATATACCTCAGCACGTTTTTCAGATTGGTTATATATTTAATTTCATTCAGTTCAGTTCGCCTTATATTGATTCATACTGGTTAGGCATCTTCTTTGTATCTTTTTATTTTTGTTTTTGATTTTGTTTTTAGTGTTGTTTGAACAAGAAAATTCTTATAGCACTCATTGTTCTTTGTCTTTTTTTTATTCTTATTTTTGTTATAGTACACCACTGGGATTTGAATAAGAAAATTATTATAGCACTCATTGTTGCTTCAACTCTCCTTTGTGGAATTTTGATGTCTCTGTTTTGTTTCTGGATCTATAGACAAAAAAAATTGAAGAACTCCATTGCAAAAAGCCAACAGAGCCGTGGTATCTTCTTTATAAATAAAATCTCATTCACTATTCCTTCAAGATTCTTGAGAAAATATAGCTACCCCTGTGATGCTTCTTGTTCACCTTATGTGATTTTTTTTTTTTTTTCTCTCTTTAAATTTGAATTTGAAGATGCTGTAAATGGAATTTCATTGGGTCTAATTTTGGGTAGATTCAATTCTTTGAGAATGGCTGATAAAAAAGGTTTTTCTGCGTTGATTAACTATCAATTGTTAGTAGCCACAACAAATAATTTTCAGTAAAACAATGTTTTGGGTGAGGGTGGATTTCGACGCGTGTACAAAGGTTGTTTCAGTGATAGCTTTCTTGCAGCTGTAAAAAGACTCTGTGGCATAAGTCACGATGCTGAAAGAGAATTCAAGATAATTTTGACCAGATATCAAGTTTAAAATCTATATGTTGATTTTGTTTTTCTCGTTTCGACTTATGGATTGTTTTTAATTACCAATTCAAGTTGCAAAGTGAGATGGATTGGTTAAGTAAAATTGAGCATCAAAATATTGTTTCGCTATTGGGTTACTGCGTTCATGGCGAGGCAAGGTTTCTTGTTTATGAGATAATGCATAATGGGTCTTTGGAATCCCAATTGCACGGTATTTAAAAAAAATTTTAAAAAAAATAAAAAAAATTTCACTGCCCACATGAATATGCTAATTTGTTTTGTTTATTTATGAAATTTTGCCCATTTAATACGTGCTTTCAACATAATGCAAGTTATAGGGGTCATTATTTTCAAATATGGCTTTGTCTTATACTTTGTTCACTTCTATATAAAGTTGTAAACATTGTGTCTATCACAGGCCTAACTTTTGGTAAGGAGTTTACGGCTGCAATTGAAGCAAAACAAATTGCTACAGAAGAAGCTGAGAGGGCCAAGTTTGTTGTTGAGAAAGCGAGCAGGACAAGAGAAGTGCTATTATTAGAGCCCAGGTGAGAGAAGTGCTTTTCAACTTCATCCATATGTTTATATGAGCTCTCTCTTTCTCTCATATTGTTGTCAAAAATATTTTATATCCAGGGTGAAGCCAAGAGTGCTCAACTGATTGGCGAAGCCATTTCCAAAAATCAATCATCTCTTACACTCAGGAAAATTGAAGTTGCACTGGATATTGCACAGACAATATCTAAATCTGCCAACCGTCTGTTTTTAAACTCGGATGAACTTTTGCTGAACCATCAGGGGATGAATGAATGTTTAAATCTAAAGATTCAGACTAGGTATCAGAAAATGAAGAGCAATTGTAATTTGCATAGATTGAATTGATTCTTTGTGTATGGATTAGTAGCCTTCTTTAAATATCAATTTGATTTATTTGTTGTTCCTGGCAAAGTGGAACACATTGCTATCATGTAAGCAAAAACAATTGTAGTTTCTGATATGGTGTATTATTCTGTTCTTTAGGTTGAGCCACATTACAATTGATTAGTAGCCTTCTTTAAATATCAGATTTTAAATAGTGGGATAATTTTATTGTTATGAATTATTATTTATGTATTGTTATGAATGGAACAACATTATGAATTTTCATTATGTGTCAACTTTTGTTTATGTATGTATTTATATTATTATGTAATTATCGAGTTTTTTTTATAGTCATTTTTCATTTAATACAGGTTATTTTCATATTTTTAATAATTTTAATACAGTTTTTTTTTTTTTTTGTGAGACGGCAGCATTTTTTGTGACGGCCGTACACACACCGTCTCAAAAAGAAAATTGAACCAGGGTTTTTTGCGACGATAGCTTTACTATCGCAAAAGACAGGGGAATTGGTTGAAAAGTAGGGCCTTTAGCAACGGTGTCATTACCGTCGCCAATAGTCCTTTAGCGACGGCATCAGGTGTTGTCTCAAATAAACTTTTAGCGGCGGTATTTTTTGCCGTCACAAAAAACCCTTTTAGCGACGGCAACACAGTGCCGTCTCAAAAAAACTCAGATTTTCACGCGTTATTTGCGACAGAATTTTGCCGTCGCAAAAAAGGCATTTTGCCGTCGCAAACAAAAGGCGACGGCGTTATGCCGTCGCTAAAACCCTTTTGCAACCCCCTTTGTTGTGACCCCCCTTGCCATCGCAAAAAGCCACTTACCGTCGCAAAAAACCTTTTGAGACGGCGTTGGAGTATTTGCGACGGCATTTTACCGTCGCAAAAAAGTAATTTTTTTTGTAGTGTTTATCATAGGAGTCAAATGTAATATACCTTAAATTAGTTTGTCTAATGAAGTTGTGGATAGCCATGGTAGCACAAACAAGTTGCCGTTGACAAACAATATCGTAATTGCATAGAATATTTTTATAAAAGGTCATCTTGCTTTCCAAACACCAAATGATCTTTCTATTACGCTCCTGAGTGATGAATGTGTTTTGTTGAATCTTTCATGTGCAATTTGAGGAGGCCGATGGTCAAACTAAGTTAAATGAGATCTTTCCCCTTTGTACGGCGCAAGATAACCCTTTGTGTTTGGATAGCCAAAATCAACCAAATAATACTCATCTACAAAGTAAAATATGAACTCATTACAAATATAACTAATATAGAATAAATGAATAAATCTTAAGTTGTGTTACATACATACCTCCTTTTGGATATGGAAAATTATTGTTTGGATTCCTAATTGTATTCCAAAAAATTCGCGTGTCATGTGCACTTTCCTTCCAACCAGGCAAGAAAAATGTGAAACACATATCAAAGTCACACACTACCAATATGTTTTTGTTGGATTTATTTTCTGATGTGGCCCAATAGCCTACATATCTTTTACATGTTTTATTTTATTTTGACTCCACAATTAGATAAAGCCAATATTTGGACTCTAATTAAATAGCTAACAAAGGTATATTCATGTTATTCTTGAGATGTATTGAATTCAAGATTATATAAAGTTCAATTCCGTGTTATTATTATGGTTATATGTACATTAATTTCTTACATGTGGTATCAGAGCCTTAGTCTTGTGAATTAATACATCTTAGAATAATAATATATTTATGATAGTGTTATTATAATAACAATACCTTCATTTTTATTATCGGTATTGACTTTTGAAATATTATTTTAAAAGCGAAGTCTCAATTATTTGATCTTTACATGTGGGAACTATTCTTTTACTCTATTGCTTAATGTCTAAACATGCTTTCTCCCATGTATACTGTGCATTTTGTTTTTAAAAAGCAGCAGTAATGTTTTTGTTTCTAATTCTTGCAAGTATTGGGGTGACGACGTTGCTTTAAAATTTTTATCCTTGACTTGATAAACACATAATATGCATGCTTTGATTTGTTATTAATTTTAGTAATAATAATTTTTATAATCATCATAATATGACACTAAATTGAGTGTAATTTTCATATTGCTTGTTGTTATGACAAATTGCATAGATTAAAAACAATTTAAATTTTTGTTCAATTGTTCGGTAATTATGTTTTTACCTTGTCTGATAATGTACACTTATTGTCTATTATTATTGATATTTATATATTTTCATGTTTAAATTTGATATCATTTTATGACATTGAATATTAAATATTGAAGTGGTTGATTCATATTAGGGTGTAATTCTTGTTGACCGTTATATGAGATATTCATTATTGTCATATTGCATAATTTGATATATATATATATATATATTTGTGTGGGTGATTTTCCGACCACATTGCCCGCCTAGTAATCAGCTGGAGAGCACTGGCAGAATAGATGGCTTCAGCAACCTGTAACAGAAAGAAAAGGCTTCGGCGGTGGCTCTTCCACCCGGGGGCACTCCGACGATCAAGTCAGTATATCTCTCAAAGATAATCAAATGCTAAACTCACTAGCTTGAGTCTAAAATTGCGTACCTTAGAACCATGGGGGTGCCTCTCTTTTATAGTTTACTTAATCCAAGTCCTACTAGAAGCCTGACTTTTATGGACTCCAATTCAGTACTGACTTTGGATTCTTCATGAGATAAAGATAAACTCCCTAAGAGCTTTATCCTTATCTTGGCTAAGTCTCCTCATTGTCCTAGGACTCTTGTCCCTTATCTGCTTATCTCGGATTTCGATATCTTCGGATAACCTCGATAACTCCGAGATCACCTCGGCGTAACTACCACGACACGTGGCACTTCGGTTGACACGTCGGCGTCGCCATGCCACGTGTTGGTATCCACAAAATATATCCCCACAACTGCCCCCTAGGTTCTATTACCTCGTGTAGACGCGCCCGCGTGGGGCCCTCGCTACAGTTCGGACTTGATTTGTTGTCACGGTTCTTAATCTTGAACCAAAGAGTCCAAATCCAGCGTTTTGAGAAACAGATTTTTTGAAAAGAAGTGCCAAACATGGACTGCTTTGCCAGATACAGAGTCGCCACCTAAATATTTTTTATGGGGGAATTTAGGAAACCCTAACTCGGTGCCGAAGGCCACATGTCTGTCATCACCGGAGTTGTCTCGGCTCGGGAGCTTGGGTACGATCGGGGAAGGTCAGCTATGAGCACCCCCTTTCGCCCGGTCCGAAGACCGGCCTCTACTAACCATGATATCCGATTTTGAAAACTTTATGTGTTCTTATTCCAGTTATTAGCCTAGAATTACTATGTTATACGCACAACAAACAAGTATAGACTAGATTGCCTAATTTGAAAATAAGCATTGCATATCCGTTTGCCTTTTAAAAAAAGTACTTTGGAATTTGCTACTCGCAAGTAGGCTAAAATACGGATTTCAACGAGTTTTTCCAACTCAAACAATCCAACCTTCACCCGCAGGCATTCAAACAGTTTATCTCATATAAGCACTTAGCCGCATGGCAAACATACTGTCATGGCAACATTCACACGCATACGAGATGCTGAAGCATAAATACTTACATCGTACTCCGTGCCAAAAACAGGAACATGTTAGCAATCAATGCATGATCCAAGTCCATGTTAAGTGCCTAATGCATCGCATACAAAATGCACAAAAGCTTCACAAGACTAAGCCTAAAACATGCTTGAACAAGGGCTAACAACCTAAGGCATATTAAGGCAATAACAAGGCATTACATGGTAGGTATGCTAAGCATGCATGGTGTACCAAAACCAACACACAACAAGGTTATATCATGGCATAATAAGCATGGAAAACAACCAAGATATGATCAACACACATTCTAACATGGTGCTCTCTCAAGAGGCCAAAAAGGATCCCTTTCAAGGACAACAAGGAGAGGGGGTGGCCCTCCCCTTTTGGAGACTTCAAGGCACCATCTCCACCACTGAAATCCCTCAGGATTTCAGTGGTGAAGAGGCCCAAACACCAAAGTCTCAAAACTTGCACAAAATGGCTCAAAATGGGACCTTTCAAGGCCTAAGAGGGATCAAACACCTCCAACCCAAAAAACACTCTAAATGAACAATTTAGAGGGCCTAAAAACAGAAATTTTTTGTATTATACACCAAGCTCAAAAACGATTTTAAGATAGGCAAAAACAAGATGCAAAAATGGGGAATAAAGGGGTAAGATTCTTACCCTTGAAGACCTCTTCACAAATGGTGCTCCAACAGCTCCTTCTAGGTTGAAAACAGCTCCAAAACTTCAAAACCAACCTCTTAGAACCTCAGTAGCTAAGTGAAGGTGAAACACTATGTGTTTGTGTGCAATAATAAGACACAAATGCACTTTAACACACACAAGAGGGAGAAATAGAGATAGAAAGTGTAAGGTTTCTAACCCTAGAACTCAAAACCCTAAAAATGGCTGTCTAAAACTCTCTCAAGTCTCTCAAGTGTCTAACCCTAAAGCCAAGAGACAAGGTTCTCTCTTATAGAGCTTATTGTCTTGTAAAGCTTACAAGACAAGCTTCTAAAGAGGGAGATCCCTCCATACACGTGTATGGAGGGGAGCCAAAAGCAAGACAGCTGTCTTAAAATATCTGCAAAAGCAGATGCACAGTAGTCGGCCGGCCAAAGATGCCATTTTGACAAAATTTAGTGCCGACTGGCAACAAATAGTACCGACCGGCAATAAAAAGTGCCGACCGGCAACAAATAGTGCCGATGGCAGCACAAACCAGCCGGTGGCCTCTAGCCACTGCCGGTGGTGTGTGGGGATGCCTCACAAGGCATTCCCTGCTCCTCCAAGGCAAGACACAAGTGTTTGGTGCAAAACCAGACACAAAACGGTCAAGTTCGGAGATCTTGAGGCAGGGCGCGTAGCCGAGACCTCCAGGAACTCCAAACGAACACAAACATGGATAATCACCGAGTGTTCAAACGGTGACGTCCAAGTCTTGAGGACGGTCAAAAAAGGGGTGTCTACAGTTGCCCCTCTTTGACAGAACTCGAAAGTCATAACAATGACGGGAGTGAATGTCAAAGCCCAGAGACGACCCATTTTTGACAAGGCCGAAGACTCAGACAAACATGCAAGACAATAAAGATATGCGCCCGGAGGCAGGGGCAAAAT